TTTGGAGTTCACAGTTCCTCCCGGGGCTGACGTTGTCATCACTATTGAGGGACCTGAATTTGTTTTTAAGATTAGAGAAAATCAGCTCGTTCAAACTGTGCGTGTATGTCAGGCCTTTGGAACTTTCTGAAAAGTGTATTTACAGTGAAGGCTTTCAATAAAAAGGACAAAATACGTTTTTTTAAAATTAAACAAGAGGAATACATGCGAGTTAAGTGCAGTATTTTTTCAATTGTGCCTTCGCGACGTTTTACATACTGTAGTACGAGAAATTAAACCGGCTCGACGATTTTGCCAGAGAATAACGGTTGAAGCCAGTAGATGGCGCATTGTCCTGCTTTTTTTTTTGTTTCAGCAATACAAATTAGGAACAAACTATCGTGCCGGAGGGAGAGGGTGACGCTGTGCATAAATAGGAGGAGGAGAAGGCGAGTAAGCTTATGATGCCGTAGCCAGATCCTCAAGCAGCAGGTTTAAGACGCACTCCTCCCTCTAAGTTTCAGTCCCCGCTGTAGTCCTGATCAAGACACCTGACACAATCAAGAGCGAACACAGAGCTTTCCGATTCGCCGGCAACATGGCCAACCTGAAGAAGAGAAATTCCAATACGTCTGCGGACCGGGAGGAAGAGGACAGGCAGGCGAAGGAGAAGATGCTGTCCTCGGCCGGCGGAGAGAACGGGGACAGCCGGCGAGACCGCCCGAGTGCGCCGGGCAGCCCCGAGCTCGGCGGGGCGGCGGGCGAGGAGTCGGTCGCCCTGAAGAGAAACATCACGCTGGTCAACGGCGTGGCGATCATCGTGGGTACCATCATCGGCTCGGGCATCTTCGTGACCCCGACGGGAGTGGTGAAGGAAGCGGGCTCGGTAGGGTTGTCCCTTATCATCTGGGCTGTGTGCGGGGTCTTCTCCACCGTCGGGGCGCTCTGCTACGCCGAGCTGGGCACCACCATCTCCAAATCCGGCGGGGACTACGCTTACATCCTTGAGGTCTACGGCTCCCTGCCGGCTTTTCTAAAGCTCTGGATTGAACTTCTTATCATCAGACCTTCATCGCAGTACATAGTTGCCTATGTGTTTGCTACCTACCTCTTGAAGCCGATTTTCCCAGATTGCAACGTGCCAGAGACTGGATCCAAGCTGGTGGCCTGCATGTGCATCTGTAAGTACCGGACGGTTCGGATAATAATTGTTGTTATTATTATTATTATTATTATTATTATTATTATTATTATTATTATGTGTGTGGTCTTTGTCAAGGTCGCGGTCTTGTTTCATAGGGGGCTGATGGCACCTCGCAATTGCCGGTGCTGATGCGATTTGTACGGACACTGTTTCATTCATACTCGACTAATGCGCCAGTTTATTCCTAGGATCCTAGTTTTTTGGGGGAGTTTTTTTTCCCCCCTTAATGTTATTATAAATAGGATGGGTTAACAAGGGCTGAATTTCCGCATGCGATACAGCGTGGTATCTGCCATGTGTTATACAGCAGAAGAAGGAAGTTCTTACGCGACAGTATTACTCACTGGGGCCGGACCTGCGGCTGTTACCAGGAACTGCTGTAAATTCGGCTGTTGTTTCATCATCTCAGTCATGTCGTTGCAGAAACCAGACAAGACAAGTGGGTAGCCCTGGAGGCTGACGGGTTTCTTTTCATTTAGCGGGGGCCAGGCCCGTTCATAAACGCCAGTGTATCGTTTCCTGTGCCCTGTGACACCCGGAGAGCGCTCATCTGCGTTCATTTTCGAGACCCCCCATTCGTTGTCTTGATCCGCGACCAAACTCCCCAGACGGGGTTGCTCAACATTTCATCCAGTGAGAACTGAAGTCCTCGGGTCTGCAATAACGTTTTCGGGGTTGCCTTACCGAGCAGACCTGTGAATTTAGCAAGCCCCAAACCCTTCTCGTTCCGGTTCCACATACTGTACGACAACTGTCATCTTTTTATTTTTCTCTGCCGGAGGGTTTGTTACATTTCAAACCTTTTCCAGGCAAAGAGCCATCGGTACAGCCTGAATACTGAAGATACAGTATCAGCGTGTTGGCGCTGGGGTGTGTAAGAATGCGGTTTCTTTCTGTACTCAGTGCGTTGGGCAGTGGTTTAAAGTGCATGAAATACCGGCGCACGACTTGTTGCGTTTTTTTGCTATATTGCTCTCTCCTGGAACCCCCTTGACTGATAGTTCTATTTTTGGACTGTAAATTACTTCACTGCTCTTTTTAAAAACACTTGGGTGTGTACCATCTGGACATTAAAGCTGTTTGATGCCTCTTTCTGTGCTACTTCGACGTTTTCTCTGCTTACTTACATATCGCAGTCTAGACGAATACAGGTGTAACTGTGGCATCTTCGTTGGCAAAGGCGTCTGTGCCGTTTTTGAGCAGATCTCGTTAATGTTGTTAATGCAGGTCAGTTCTAAATGACACCTAATCTCGTAGACATGCGCCTGTCCAAAAAAAATAAAAATAATTCTCGGATTCGATAGAGGAAGCACGCCACCACAGTCAGGTGCAGTCTTTACTTCTTTCTCGATTGTTGATCATCTGTCAAGCCTTCGCTCATTTTTAGAAGCAAAAGTGTTTCCGATTGATTTACTGTAATTTAGAGCTGGAGTACTCGTTCTGTAGCCGAGCCTTGACAGACCCCTGAAGTGGCAGCATCAGCAGGGGCTCCCCCAGTCCCCCGAGGCGCAGTGTGGTTTATCCTAACACCATGTTTGGGGAAGAGGAGAGCAGATTTCAGCCCCTGACTGGGACTGGGATCAGTTCACCCAGAATCAAACGCAGAATCAAAGGCCACAGAATTATAATCCGCTATTCAAAACCTCTTCTCTTCAGGCGCTGTGTGATCTGCTGCCAGTCTGCATGCAGTTTGCCTAAGCAAAGCACCACTTAAGGGAAGGAGAAGGCAAGGTGAAATGGAAATGTCTGCATTTTCTGTGCCCGCCAGCGTGGTGCTGGACAGTTCCCCTGGTGGTTGGAGAGAGGGGTGGCCTTTGTGCGCCTCGTCCCCGCCTGTGCCTCGGGGGAGCTGTGTGCGCTGATCTCTCGTGGCGGAGGGCGGGGGCCTGGGCTGGGGGGTGGGGAAGGGAGCAGAGCCGCTCTGCTGGGTGGCTGATGCAAGCAGCGACCTGTGTGTCTCAGCCAGCCGTAGGCAGGGTGTGTGGGCAGGAGCCGCAGCGCCGAGCGGACTGGCGGGAAGCTGCCTGCTCAGTCCCCGCCTCGTCTCGCCCCAGCGGGGCAGGTTCTCTGTCTCATGGCGGCAGGATGCGCGCGGGAACTTCAGCAGTCCCTGCTCGGTCTCGCGCGTCCCTCTCTGTCCCATTGACCCACATTCCTGCACAGCGCAGGGCTCTGCCTGGTTTACTAGGTCAGGGAAAAGCCTGTGCTTTTTCAGTGTCCAGCTTGACCTGATCTGACGAGCTAGGCTTTCTTCAGTCTTCGGTGGGCCTTCTTCCTCTTCCTCTTCCTCCATGTGGTTTTGAACTCCACTCTTCCTCCAAAACCTCTGCTGACTGGCCTCTTCTCTGATTACGTCTGCTCTGGACATCACTAAGGGGGAATAAAAGCATGAATGGAACAGCGCGCACAGAGCAAATGATTTAACTGAAATGCAAATCAATGAAGGAAATTTTTTTTTTTCTCCAACCTGCAACTCTTTCGACAGGTGCCTTTGTTCTGCTTTCATCAAGTCTACAGAGGCAGACCTATTATTATGAGGTTGTTCTGTTTGGAAAAGCCCTGATAATAAGTATTCATATTCCACTTCCTCCTCTGCATTTAGCCTGATGCATCGTAACATGCATCAGCTGCAACAACATGCAAACTAAGTTCCAGGGAAGATATGATATATAAGATAGGATGCCTGCAAAGGTTTCCCAAAACAGATTCGCCTCTCAAGGTTTCAGTGGAGTTTTAGAAATGCTGAAGTCTACATTAATAGGCTGCCAGTGCCAGACGATAACCACAGACACATGTGACTGTTCATTGCCAGAAGACATGCTTTTTTTTGACCGAAAGACCGGAGTGTAGAACATTGTGCTGGCCTGCTCTGAGCCGCGCAGCACACAACAGAATTGTGTTCTAGCCTAGCTCACAGCCCCTACTGTACATCTTGCAATGCCAGCCAATGCCACACTTCATCATAGTCTAGCTGGAAGATAATAATTCTTGCCAGCATCCCAGTGTTAAAACAGCTCACTGTGTGCTCCTCTGAGGCAGTGAACTTCAAAAGAGAGGCTATTGTAGAGACCACAAAATAGGCCGAGAATGAAAACAATGAGGATTGTGATGTCCTCAAAGCCTTGGTGTCCAGCGAAGTTCAGCGTGTTTGTAATTTCCTGCGGTTCAGCGGTCTGTTGTATCAGGGCGGTGAAGTTATCAGTGTTTTTGCTCTTCAGTGTCCACTATGGCCTGCATGCAATACATGCAAGAGCTTGGCTCCTTGCGTGTGCTAATCATGGACACGGTGCTGAGCCCCTTTCCTGCCGGGCAGCCCCGTGGTCTGAGGCCAGTTTGAAAACGCTGCTGTGGAAACGGAGGCTGTTAACCGTGGTGCTGAACAACTTGGATGGCGCTCTTGTGTCTCGAGGGGAAAAAAAAAAAATCGTGAACAGCAGGAACCCAGCTCTCAGTTTGAAAGCACAGGAGACGTTACCAGCAGAATGTTCTCTGTTGAGGAACAAGCCTGCTGCTTTAATGACTACGGACCTTTCAAGAAGGAAGGGGTTCCCTACTGATCATGGACTTGACAGCTATATACTGGCAGCAGGAGGTCGTTTTATCGCAGCTTGCTGGTTTTTGGACACAAAATTTCACACCCATTGTCCAGTCAAATTCTTAATCAGAGGCTGTCTTCATCCTGGCAGCCACTGGGACTTGCATATTCTACTGCTGCCCCAATTACAGGACTTTAAGTCTGGTAAGAGACCTGCCATATAACAATGAGCAGTCTCGGCACAGAGGGGCACTCAGCAGTGGCTAGTCACTTGACTTTGCTTGTAATTCGGGGCCTGAAGCAGACGGACTTTATAGATATGCCTACAGGGAAAAAGGACAGCTCTGTTAGTATTCATTTTGATATTATCATTTAAAATGGAAAAAGTACCTTAACTGCACATTTAAATGTACTCATATTTCATAATTGAGTTAGATTCTTTAGGCCATTTTCTTTGCTCTTAAGGAGGGGAATGTACAGCAACCTGTGATGCTATTTTTCTCTTCTGCTACATGTGTATTTCCCACAGCCCCACTGAATTTTTCCCATTACCCTGTGCCTTAACGCCTGTTTCCTGTTAGATCTTATTATATCTTGTCCACTTCTCTGATTTTTTTGAATGGAAGTCAGAGGTACTGTGAGCACACATTTGGTTTTACAACATAATACTTCCTCTTTATTGTGCCTTTAAATACTTTCTCTGTTGGTAAAGAATTGTAACAAAAAGGGCAGAGAAAGCAAAACATTGCGTGAGTGAGGAAGCTGTGCACCATGGGACGTCAGAGCTCTTTATATGTACAGTATTATGAGTAGGGCTGGATGAACTTCCTGTTAGATCTTTACCGATGATTTTCTTGTTAAACATATTTTCTCTTTCTATGAAATGCCTTTATCATGTGATTTTTTATAATGTAAGAACTGAAGAAAAGTCACAAACAAAATCGGCCCTGAGGCCTGTTTTGAGTGCTCGGTTGCTGGTAGCTTGTTGATTCACCCACTGGCCTTCATACTCTCCTTTTTTAAATACTAACCAGAACTACACACTGCCCTCTGAATGGCCCACCTGCTCTGAGTAACGCTGTGCACTGCTGGAAAGTGGTTGTGTCCAAGCTCTGAGTCAGCCTGTCTTTGTGTTCCAGTGCTCCTGACGGCAGTGAACTGCTACAGTGTGAAGGCTGCCACTCGCGTCCAAGATGCCTTTGCAGCTGCTAAGCTGATGGCCCTGGCTCTCATCATCATCATCGGCTTTGTCCAAATTGGGAAAGGTAAGACTCACACTCTGTACTCGCTGTGCCTGCGGTCCTGAGCAGTTCTTCTGTACCTCTTCCATTATTACATGATAAATGCCCATTTACCTGTTTGTGACATGTTTATAAAAGGCATGAGTCAACACTGATGGCACAGTGCGTGACCCAGCTCATGACATTTAGAGTTCATATACCTGAATTGGATAAAATGTTTATTTTAATATTATTTTTTGTTTACTTGAAATGTCTGATCTTTTAAATATTTTTATATCTAGAACTTTTGAGACTAAATAGGAATGTTTTTTATATCTGCTGATGCATTTAAACAATTGAAATATTGCTTTTTTTCCAGCTCTGGTACAAGTGCGTACACTTCTTGCCAGGAAGAGTCAGCTGTTTTCTGTGAACAGTCTCTGGCTGTTTGTGACCTTACTGAACTGTACTTTGTGAAATGAGCCCAGCAACGTTTGAAGCTGGAAAGTGTAGGGTTAGTGTATGACTCTTGCCCGGTTTGCTGGCCCTGATAAAACAGGTCGCAGACGGCTTCTGCCAAGAGCATGCACACGCACAGAGTGTGCAAGGAGCTTGTCAGAATTCAGTGGAAAGTGCTCATGAGATGTTGGTTTGCTCCCATGTTCTTAAAGAGTGTGTAAAAGCCCTCAGAGCTGTGAGCAAGTCATCAGGAACATTAGAAATTTCTTTCCAGGTGACAGAACGACCTCATGCAGACCTTACACACCTGCCCTCTGCACCTTGGAGCTCTCAGCAGTACAGTGCTTCACCAGCTCTCTGCTATAGACATCAGAGGTCACCAATAACCAACATAACTTATCGACTCCCTTCCCTGTCTTTACTCTGGTGAAGCATTTGCAAAATCGTGCATTGTGGAAGGAGCTTTAAAAAAATGACAATGCATCTGAATATACATCTTAATATCTGATAACTAAGTGTCCAGTTTTTCCAGGTTTGGAATAAACAGATCTCCGACTTTACTCTGAAGCATTTGCAAAATTGTGCATTGTGGGAGGGGTTTTCAAATGATGACGATGTATCTGAATATACATCTGTGGAATCCCCCCTCTTTATTGGGTAGCATGGCCAGGGGGTTTCCAACATAAACTATGACCTTATCTTTTCATACCCAGTAAGCGTCTCTACCCTCTCTCGGGCGATTCCGATTGGCCAGGTGTGCTCATTAACCCGGAAAACGACCGCGGCTGCTATCGTAACCTAATCCCGCTATGCTCACTGCTTCATAAGACCCTGAGTGTTTGTGGAAAGGCACCCTTGACAACCTCAGGAACCGCTTACATATAGGGAGAGTCTCCAGCTGTAGCCAATTCCTTGATTTTCCTTGTGGGAATCCAAAGAATCTGGGATTCCTGAATACAATGACTCTCCCCCTTGATATCTCACCCGTGCTTCCAGTCGCAGCTTCACTACAACACCTTAGTATCTTAACCAGGTGTCCAGCTTTTCCAGGTTTGGAATGAACAGATCCCCGTCTGTCTGTGGAGGCTCTCCTTGCCTTCATGCGCTTTCTGTGAGAGGCGGACAGACAGTGCTGGTCACAGCAGATCTGAGGGTTAAGGTGTGCAGAGGCAGTCCGGTACCTCGTAGCAGTGACTCAGATGGGCATGCCTGCATGTAGAAAACTGTATTGGTGAAGGTAGAAAATGAACGGAAAAACCGTGTTCCACAGCTGCAGATTTCCAATTTCTTTTGCAGGACAGTTGGCATAGCTGGTCATTATTATTGAACACTATAGCAGCATTTTGTCATTTTAGTCTTTCAGAAGTTGTATTAAGAAGTTGTTTTAATGGGGGGAAAAGTTGCCCATGTTACAGTTCTTCTTTTGTTGTGGGTTTCTGTCAATGAAGTCCCTGTGTTTCGTCTGGACTCATGTGGCAGAGAACATTGGCAACTCGGGGGAAAAACCTAACAGTACAGCCTGTGTTTGTGATTCGTATTGCACTTTGAATACTTCAGGCAGAGGTTGTCTTTCATGGCCAGTAAATACACAGTGTATTCACCAGCAATTATTAGTGTTTATTCATGGGAGGCTGTGATAAGCATAGAGTGTGTACCTGCACCTTCAAGTATTGGTTCTTTTCTTAAATCCACGTCCTGCCCAAGATCGGCAGGTGTCGCCCTCCAAGCCTCCGAGCTGACCATCCCGTGCGAAGCAGTGCAAGATCGGAGCGCGGGTCTGTTGTTTCAGCTTTCTGGAACCGGAAAAAGCTGTGATCAGAGCAGCCTAACCTCCCGCTCGCCAGCATTGCCGTCCGGAATTGAATTTGCAGAAGAGAAGAAAGAATGCCCAGGGCTCGGATCAGCTGTTCTGGGTTTCCTGCGCTGCCCTTCGCCTCGTCCCTCTGCTTCCTCCCCTCTGTTAACCTCTTCAGCACCAGTGACGGGTGGAAGAGCAGCCATGGGGAACGGGGGGCGGTCCTGATCTGAAAGCACAGGCTCGCCTGATGAGGTTAAGACAGGCTGCCTCATCTGCGATGCGCTGAGATCCTTGATTAGCCTCTTGGGTGGGCTGCAGCACTCAAGGAGGGGGGTCTTGTTTAAGGACACAACAGCATTGCCCACCTTAGAAGCTGGAACCCGTGACCTTCTTCAAATTACCCATGAGCCCTAATCACCTCTACATGAGCGCAGAGTACTTCTTCCTAAATGTGGAATTTGCGGTTGTTTTCCCGACTGGGTTCTTGAGCAGCGACGGGAGAGAATGCCGCACATTCAGGGCCCACCTTGAGGCCACACGGCCGGGGCCTGGTCAGTCACACAAGGGGCTGCTGGCTTCCAAATGGGACGGCTTTTAAAATCTGGCAAAATTAGAATTGCTGTCATTCTTGGTTAAAATGCATTAATAAGAATAATAAAATAATAGCATTTGTTTTACAGAGTGCCTTTAAAAGCAATCCTCTCAAAGGTCAAGAGAGAGTAAAACATTGCTCTTTTTATATGAATGATGGAGCCCCCATTTTGTGGCAAATCTATGCCTCTTAAGACGTTGTCAGCAGTTGGATTAGGGCTGACTGGAGCTCTGATGTCCCTGTGAAAAGAATGACATTCTGATTTTTACATGCAAGTGAGATGCCTGTGATTAGACATGGTTCTTCAATGGTGTCCATATCCCAGTCCTTCCCTATACTGGAGTCTTGGTAATCATTAGACTGGGGGTAGAGAGCCAGTAATCTAGTGAACCTGATCAGGCAGAGTGTTACCCTAAAAGGATCTCAAAGATATTGACTTCAGTTAGATCCACTCAATAAACATCGGAGCTCAGAAGAATAGGTGTGAAGCCCTGTGAACATAAGCAAGTTTTTGTTTGAATGAAAAAACTATTACTGTCACGTCATTTACAGAAGTGATTTGCAAGAAGAGAAAAAACGTTCAGAGAAGCTGCTGCAATCTGGGGTTGAAACCCCATTAAATTATGTTGAGAACAGCAGGAAAAAATATTACGAAGCACTGTGATAAACCACAGATGAATGTGTATTTGGCACTGACCTGCTTGGGTCAATCTAGACATGCTCACCAGCCTGACACCTACAGCTGATGGACGAGGAAACTTGAAACCACGAATGTCACACAACTGGAAAAGAAAATAGCATGCAGACAGGGCACTGTAGCAGAAAGTGGAACTCCGCACATTGATTGCTTGGCCCACTTTCTGTATGTGGGTCACAGATCCAGATAAGCTTTAAAAGGCAGATGACTTGTTCTGAATGTTTTTCAGTCATGCTGCCTGGTCAGGCACAGAGCTGTAGCCGGTCTGGTTCCCGAGGTCGACAACAGTGACAAGAGGTTAGCACTGTAGCTGGCAGGCCCATGCTGAGAGCAGGCAGTGCAGAATGCCATTGGATGAGTGTGCCGCTGAAAAGATGTCAATCATAAAGCAAGGCTGAGCTTCTGTGGGACATAGCAAATCAGTAACTGGTCACACTTCGGCCACTGAATCAGTTTAGTTATTATTCATTGCCCTCGTGCAATGCAATTTATACTCAAGACAGCTCATGAACATGAACAGTGTAAATTTGTGGTCTAAACAGCAACAGCAGAAGACAGAAATGTTATTGTTACTGAAGTTGTGGATTTAAAAGTAACTTTAAGTGGAACAGCGTTAATGTCCTTAGACATTTTAACATATAAACTTCAACTTGGTTACGATTTGAGATCTCGGCACACTTGGCTCGGATCTTATTGATGTTCCTGGAAACAACGTCCAATCAACGTTCTTGTATTTCTTGTCTCTGGCAATGATGCAACTCTGAATGTGGGTTGCGCCCAGTCTTAGACTAACAGTGAAGCTTTACTCCAAATAGAAGGAGTTTAAAAGGATTACCAGTGAGATAATCTGGATAAATTGGGAGAGTTCCTCTAATGTCAATCAGTACCCACAGATCTTCACAGTACAGTTGAGATGTGCTTTAGGGAAATGTCCTAATGCTGAAATTGGAGGCAATTATCTGGAAGGGGGAGGAATAAACCAGTCATGTTCTGGAATTTTTCATGGATCATGTGTGTCACACACATTTGTAGTGTTTTATAAAATAGTTTTGTCTTGTTATCTTGTAAATATCTCCTATTTGGAGACAATTTGTTGAGTTCAACCAAAATAATCACTGTGAAACAGCTGTGTGTTAAGATCTGATTAGCCAAAAGCAGTTCTTACAGGCATAAAGATGCAGAATACTGGAGAGCTACACCAATAGCACCAATCACACCTTTGATGTATATAAGTCATTTTGAATAGTGTGGTGCAGCTGTGAGAAAGAATCACTGTATTTTTTTAAAAAAAAGGAGTTAAAGTAAAGCACTGGAGCAACAGTTTTTAAGTTTCAGTCTTAAAAAAAAATCTTTAGGATATTTCAGCACAATGATTGAGACACAAGTTCACCCTGCCCCATAGTCAGGAGACTAAGATTTTCACCCAGTTTTAGTTTAGTTAAATGTACTGTCTCAGTTCTAGAAATTGTTTAAATAGGAGAGCCTTCAAGCATGCAAAG